AGGGACACTTTCAATTAGACCAGGCTGCTCAGAGCCCCATCCAACCTGGCCTTGAATACCTCCAGGGATGGGGCATCCACAACTTCCCTGTGGATGAGCAGCCTGTTCCTGTACTCCACCACCCTCACAGTAAAGATGTTTTTTCCTAATATCTAAACTAAACATACTCTGTTTCAATTTAAACCCATTCACCCTTATCCTTGCACTACATGCACTTGTAAATAATCTTCCCTCATCTTTTCTTTAAGTTTCTTTCAGGTTCTGGAAGGCAACAATTAGGTCACATTGAAGCCTTCTCTTTTCCAGGCTGAAGAATCCCAACCTTTCTCTCAACCTTTCCTCACTGGAGATGTGCTCCATTTCCCTGGTGACTTGGTGGCCTTCTCTGGACTTGCTTCAACAGGTCCATGTCCTTCCTGTGCTGGGCACCCCGGAGCTGATGCAGCCCTGCAGGTGGGGTCCCAGCAGAGCAGAGCAGAGCAGAGCAGAGCAGAGCAGAGCAGAGCAGAGCAGAGCAGAGCAGAGCAGAGGGGCAGAATCCCCTCCCTGTCCCTTCTGCCAGTTTTGATGGGGCTTTGAGCAACCTGGTCTAGTGGAAGGTGTCCCTGCCCACAGCAGGGGTGTTGGACCTTGATATTCAAGGTCCCATTCCAACCCAAAACCATTCTATGACTTTATGATTCTATGATCCCATAATATATCCAAAGGAAAAGAAAAAAAAAAAAAGGATAAATTTGAGGTTCAACTCTTTCTGCTTATGAAAGTGAAATAGTGAGAGAAAAGTATAAAGTTTGTTTTTTAACTTACTGCTTTATTTAAAAAAAAAAATCCGTAGTCTAAATCTGTTTTTTTTTTTCCTCATAAGCTTTAGCAAGGAGTATAATTCCACAAAGCTTCGTATTTTTTTCCCCTGAAACTACCCAGGGACGTTCTCAATAACACATAAGTCCTTGAAAAAATAGTTTTAAAAACGTAATATCTCTGCCTAGCTGTTGGTTATGAAAACAGCTAATACAGCAATTTTTGAGGAATGTAAACTCTGTAAAGCACCAAGGTTAGGCGAACGGCAGACAATAATCACAGATTTGTAGGTCTCGGGAAATCGAGATATGCTGGAGGAAGCATCTGCTGTCTCCAGAGATGCCTCCAAGCCGGACAGCGCTGGCAGCGGATTTGGAGGCGGCGGCGGCCGCTGCCTGCCGAGCCCGGCCGGGCACCTGCGGGGCGGGCGGGCTCCCGCTGCCATTGGCCTGGCGCCGCTTCCCGCCTCCTTTGAAAGCTGGGGAAGGGCGGGCGGCAGCCGTGCCTCGGCAGTCGGGCAGCAGGGCCGGCAGGGCCGGCAGGGGAGCGCTGGGCCAGCGCAGGAGGCCGCAGGTGAGCGGGAGCGCTTTCCTGGTGTCCCTCGTGGGGACTGGGCGGGCTCCACTGAGCTGAGGGAGCCACACTGGGGCTTCTTTGCTCGCGGGTTCTTCGAGCAAGGTGGTAGCGCTAAAGCGACGTTTGTGTGCTTAGTATGGCAGCGCTCGGCTTGGCAGCCTTGTGCTTAATAGTAAGTAGTAGTGGCTTTTTTTTTTCCTAGTTTTTGGTTTTTTTTTTTTTTTTCTTAATTTATTTTGTGAGGGGTTGACCTCTTAAGGTAGGCTTGCCATCTAAGCAGGTGAATTTGTGCTTGATCCATCTGTGGTGATTTATAAATGTGTTTCTTAAGGCCCCAGCTCCTCCAGTAGTAGGGTAGGACTGTGTACTTTGGAACTGGTGCTTATGAAGGAGTGATGGAAAAACTTGTCCTATAATTTCTATTGTGGCTTATCTTTTCATCTGCTTGTTCAGTTGCCAAAAAGTAGTGACATTAACGGTGAATTTAAAAGGTAAGCTTTGTCCTTGTTCTCAAGCCCTTGATGTTGAAAAAGAGCTAGTGAATCGATCAAAAATAGTAATCTGGAGACCTAGAATTCATTTCATTGATGAAATGCATCCAATTCAAAAACTGTGGAACTTATTTTTGTTAGGGGGTGTTTAAAAATTTAGGAAGTGTAGACTGATGAAGAATCTTCACGACATAATCTACCTACATAGGGTTTTAGTGTTTTTTACTCTTTTCATAATTGGGTGGGAATAATAAATCATTCTGGAGTTACTCCATCTGTTTTAAGGTAGAAGTATCAGCTAGCACCTTCACAGATACAATAGGGCTGCCATGAGTACCAGGGTACAGAATATTAATGTTGGACCTGAATAGAAGTAGTCTGCAGGATTACCCTGATTTATATGCTACTTGAAGAAAAAGCAAGGAAGTGACTGTAAATATGGGCATGTATGGCATGCTTCAATATAAAATATATAGGTTTTTATCTGCCCTTAACATAGCTAGAATAAATGCTACAAATATATGTGAGCTCCTAAGAACTTATGTACTTACATGGTTAATTAGTTCTGAAACTATTTAGGCTGAGCACAGGTACATAGTTTTGCCCATCAGTTTCTGCACAGAATTCTGCTAAGGCCTGGCTACACAAAAAAAAAAGGCAGCTTTTTTTTTTGTTTGTTTTTTTAGTAGTAGCACTGTTTATTCTGTCTATAAACTGTAAAGTCAGCTTGAACTAGAAATTTCTGTATGGTTCTTGGTTCCCTCCACCACAAACCCAATCATGCAGCTTCAGTTCTCCCATGGTAGGACTAAGCAGGATTCTGGTGGTAGCTGCTTCTGAAAACTGCCCAAGTGTCTCTTTGGAAATAGTCAGAATTTTAATGCACAAGCTGGCTGTGTTCGTTTATAGAATTACTGTTTCCAATAATATCCCTGCTGATCTCATGAAAGGGGGAAAAAGTAAACAGTAATGAAAAAGGATGCTGGGTTTGTTCCAAGTGAAAGGAACAGTAATTTTTTTTTTTTCCCTCAAAGCTCTGTTTCTGTATTCTCTCCCTCTCATCTGCCTCCCTGGGAGGTGAAGGGGAATGTGACTTGTGAGACTTTCCATGGAATTCTGTATGTGCAAGGTTTCTTTTTCCTCAAAATAGGTTATCGTTTTTTAAGTCTTGTTATCTCTCACTTAATTCCTGTCTGAAGACACTCTTCTGAAGTCAATTTAGTTTAAATTAAAGTTCAAGATATGTGCTGCTATTTCCTCTGGCAACTTTTGTGACTTCAAAAAATTGTTGCTTGCTTTCAAAGGTTTGTTGTTATGCAGGATTTGCAAGCAGTTCTTACCAGATTAATTCAAAACCCTCTCCTGGAAGTTTCTCCTCAGAGATTCATCCCTGAGCTCTACACTTCAACCTCTCATCTGCATGGTTGGGCTTGTGGGTTGGCTGTGAAGTGTAGTCTTGAACAGAGTAAGAAAATGTTCTGCTCTTTTTTACTTACTCAAATGCAGTACTCCAGATAACATTATTTAAGAGTAATTCCAGTGTTTCAGCTTACTCATCTAAATAATTTGGAAAAATGCCAGTGAAGTTTCCAGTTGCTGCTTTTAACCTTTCTTCAGTGGCTTTTCTTTAATTAAGCAAAACTGAGGAGGCCTCTGTGTAGCCTTTGCTGTACTTTACTTTGCCTGTAGATACCTTTTTATTCACTTGCATTACTATTTCTACTCTTGATATGTTACTCTGTCTGTTATTATCCTCTCCGTATAACAGCTTGAAGTAAGATACTGCAAAGGCGTGCATGTGATTGTGTATCCAATATGTAGATATCTCTGTAATCAGCTAAAAACAAATGCCCTGCCCATGGTACTTTTTTTTTTTTTTTTCAGATTTTATTTTAAAGGAAGCATTACCTGCTTAGGAGTATTGGAGGGGTGGTGGGAGGGGAGATAACAGTGGCAGTAAAGAGGGCTGTGAGGTTCCAGCCTCTTTGGTTCAGCACTACAGGTGTGTATGTTCATTCACCTAGCAACAGGAACAGAAGTAGCCTTGCTGAATTGTTTATCAGGTTATAAGAGAATATTTGCATTAAGCCTGCAGGAGATAAAACTTGGAAATCCTGGCATTCTATCAGTAGCAGTGCCCTGGCTGTCACCTTTGGACTAGGATAGTTTCCCTGTCCTACAGAAATCTGAGTGTGGAAATTTTTCCACTCTGTGCTGGAATAAAGCAGATTCTCTCTTCCCTTCCCCCAAGCTTTTGTGGAAAAAAACAAAGTGCGAGCAACCCAAGCAGAATAGCCAATAGCTGGGTGAAGGGGGCTTTGCAGGGGTGTGACGAACAGAGGGTCAGGTGCCTTCCTCGAACGCGGGGCTGTGTGCCGGGCCGCCGCTCTGTCATGCGCCCGCTCGGCGCTGCAGCCGGGTGACTAAGGCAGGACAGGTGTGTATCGGCCAGAGCGAGTTTCGGTGAGGATGAGTTGACACCTTCCCCCTCCCTTCCTCCCCCGCCAATCACGTGTTTCTTACACTGGAAAACTCCCAACAAAATCTGGCTCTACGCAGTGATGGGCAAAACTCTTTTGAAAACAAGGGGGGGGAATAGTCCTCTACCCAGCGCAAAAAAAAAAAAAAAAAAAAAAGCCAAACAAAACCCCAAGGAAAGCCAAGTCCAGAGGCGGGGGTGAAACACTTGAGCGGCAGGGGGTTTCAGTGACAGTCATCCGTCACGTGAGCAGATTTGGGGAAATCAAATCCCCCGGCAAACCCGGGAAGCGCGTCGCTGCGGCGGCGCTCGGCTGGGGGCTGGCTGCGGGGGCGGCCCCGGCACCTGCCCCCGCGCTGGCTGCGGGCGGTGCCCTTCCCGGAGCAGGCGTTTCAGGCTGGGCAGGGCGGGTGTCGGTGCCCCCTTTTGTGGGTTAACGTGGCCCTTTCCCGGCGGCAGCGGGACCGAGCCGTCCCCCGGGAGAGCCGTGCGGGGCTGGGCGAGCGGAGGCGGGCGGGCATGGCAGACGGGCTCGGGGCGGGGCGGGCGGGCGGCCCCGCCAGCAGGGGGCGGCGGGCAGCGCGCGCGCGCAGAGGCGCGCGTCGGGGGGGCCGCGCGGGCGGGGCCGGCACCTTGCGCGGCGGGCGGGGGCGCCGAGAGGCCCGGCCGGTCCGGCCGGCCCTGCCCCGGACGGCGGCGGCAGCGCCGGGGTGAGTCACTGCTTGGAAATGGAGTGGGCGGGCGTACGCGTAGCAGAATGAATGATGTCAGGGAGCACCGCGGCGAGCATGAGGCTCGCGGCAAACGCGGCGGTGGCCGCAGCCCCGAGCGAGCGCTGCCCCCGGCGCCCCCCGGGCCGGAGCCGCCCTCCAGCGGGAGAGCCTTTCCAGCTGCGGCACTGCTGAGGCAGGAAACCTCTGCGAGAAGCGTCCCCTCCGCCGACGCCCTTAAAGCCGGTCCCTTTCGCCAGGAGGCAGAAGAGGCTGAGGCTGGGAGAGGAGCAAATTGTAGGGGAAGGTAGAGATTGTGGCAAACTTTCTAGCTGCTTCTGCGTGCTGCTACCTCACTGGTGGGAGTGTCTGCCCATAAGGAACTGCAGAGCCCAAACCTAAGAGCCCTGAGGCTCCAAAAAAGACTTCCAGCCGCCTTTGGAGGAGGAGCTGCCAGCAGTGCAAGATTTTGCATATACGGCTGAGTAGGTAAGTTGGGAACGGCACAGGCGGATTAAAAGTGTGGTGTACCACAGGTGCCCACTTGGAGACCCTCTTTCACAGAAAACCTACAACTGTCAGCTGGATAGAGACTGGGAAGAGCAGTCCTACGCTTGTGGTCTCTTCCATTTCTAGAGTTGGAGGCCCCTCTAGCTACGGAGGGCACCTGCTGTTTTGATTTCTCTTGCCAACGTGTAATTTATGGAACATACCTAGTTTGAGAGTAAAGCTCTATGGTTTTGGTGGGTGCAATGTGTACATACCTCTTAGAGCAGTACCACATACCTAGCTGCTCAGGAGGGGACTTCAAAGGGTGGGATTTCAGCTCAGGAACATAAAGTAGTATTATACGGCTCTTAAGGGTGTTGTAAAGGTGTTTTGTTATAGGTGTTTTTTTTTTCTTATTGCATATCTGCTCTGTTGACGCCACTCTTAAACTTTCTGAAGTGCTGCTGAACTAAACTTTTGACTTAGTGGCAGGTTACCTTTCTTTTAATGTTGTGCGGTTTCTGAAGTAAACTTAGCTTAAAATCCTTCTGAAAAGTAGTTAATGTGTAGTCTTCTGGCAAAGTAATAAAATCAAAATACAATGTAGAATAGCTGGTGTTCAGTTTAGTCCATTTCTAAACATTTTATTTCATTTGAACACCTTAGAAAATCAAACATCTGTCCTCGAACCACTTGACAGTTATTAATTTATGCACAGTTAATTATACAAGTGAATGGGTCTGTAGGAGTATTAGCATAAACTGAGCAGGTGCATGGTACTTCATCTGAGACAACAGGCTTTACAAGAATTTTGGCAGGCTTTACTTTAAACCACATTTATTACATGGTTTGTCCAAAATCAATTTGCTTTTTTTTCATTATATTTAATGTAGTTGCTTAGATGTATTATTTGACAAAGCAGGTTTTTTGAGGCTCTATAGCCTTAAATGCTGTCTCACTGTGAAACTAATAACTTATTGCTTATTTTGCCCTAACTTAAATAATCTAGGGCTTAATTTACTAGAAAGGTCAATGTGCTTGCTTCCATATTTCTTTCCTTTTAGGTTGTTAGTTCAAAATCAGACACATATTATCACATTCTACTGAAAAACATGTACTTGTCTCTGTCCTTCATAAAGATATTCCAGTGTACCCTGTGTAGTATGTCAGTCTTAAAGGATACTGGACAAGTCAAGTGGCGATTGGGAGAAACTTTAGGTGAAAATCTAAGGGGACAACAATTGTAAGCTGATAAAGGCCCCTAATGAGGTAGCCTTCTGTGCTGTCCTTGTAGTGAACTTATACAATGGAAAAATGGTGACTTGAAGAGAGCAAAGACAGGTTATTTTTTTTAAGTCATGGGTTGGTTATCTCAATATAGAATGCCTTTACTCCTAAATTTTAAATATTCAGCCATGGATGGCATGTTGATAAGCATCTACTTTTCTGCATTGTAAAAGTGTGCTGTAGTTGTAATCTTGTAAGACAGAAATGAATTCAGAACTTAATGTTTCAAGTAGACATCAGAAGTGTTATATCAGGGATACAGTATAGTGAAAAATGGAAGATTTCCTTATCAATGCAAAAAACTCAGCCCACGCATGTACCTCCCTGTCGCTGGAAGAGCTGAATAAGAAACTTAATCTTTGGTATTTTTAATTCTAAAAACTGGAGTTCTTTATTTACAGTGTACGAGTATAATATAACATATTAAAGATATCAAGACTGAAAAGTAGTGTATTGATTTTTAAGGATTAACAAAATGAGTATTGAAACAAGTGATGGATTTAAAAAATGAGTAGCCTTTTTAAAGGAGCAGAAATGTAGAAGAAGGTTTCTGAAGAAATGGCTCATTACACTTAAGTCTCCTGGGGCAGAAGTGGTCTTTGAAGACAGAGGTATTTAATAAAATAAAATTGCATACATCTTCTGTTTGGATTTTTTTTTTCCTAATTTTGGTGGGCTGTTGGCCTACGATAGTTTTTGATACTGTTTGTGGTGAGTGGACAATACAGATGCTGTGATATATTATTTAGTATGGCTGTGGTAAGTCTGCACAGATGCTGCGAAGATTAATGTAACACTAGGTCCACTGTCTTCAGAGATCTCTCCCTGCTGGGAGAATTGTTTGTACCATGGACACCACTGTCCCCAAAGATGCTGTGCACACTAAGAATGTCAGTCATCCAGGCACCACTGTCCCAGCAGATGCTGAAGACCTTAAGAGCTGCTAATGGGAAAGTTTTATGTAGCACAGATAGCTTTGTGTTATGTTTCAAACAGACAGTCTATTCTGGACATTTCTTAACTATCCTGAAACCTAGCTGTTCTAGTGAGGCTCCAGAATGTTAATAACCACAAGTGTCTCCTGTATGAGGATGCTTGCTTAAGTTAACAATTACAGGTATCACTGTTTCTCTTACCCGGAACAGATCTTGTGGAGATATGGGTGATACAGAGAATGAAGTACTTCTTACCAATGTAATTGGTTTTGGAAGTCTGTAGCTGTTGACAGGAATTTTAATAGGACCAAAACATAAAGAAAAAGTGAATCAGCTTTAGGGAAACATGGTAGTTACCCTCTAGCTAACGTATATGCAGTGTCTGTAAAATAAGGGGACTACTGTGCTTTGAGGTCATACTTGTGGTTGCTGAGTAAAACTTTCTGCTTTACTGTGTCAGGTGGGCCCTGCTTGCCAGCTGATGGCATTTAAAAATGTTGGGAGTCTAGTCTGTTGTATAGATGAAGAAACAGTTTGCGAGAGTATCTGAGGCTGTTGAGCTTTGCAGATAGAATGGATCCTCAGATAAAATGAGTATCATTAATCAGAAGAACTTCACTGCATTCATTCTGACAAGGGAATTTTATAATAAAAAACCATGCATTACTTATTTTTTTCAGAAAAAAAAATCCGATATGTAACTCTAGAATGCAAGACTGTCCCGTTTATTTGAAGGTACCTGAACAAAAAATCAGATTTCACTTACCCTTCCTAGTTGATAGAGGTTAACTTTGAATTGCCATGTATAAATTTCAAGAATGTCTCACCTATTATTGATAAAGTGTATTTACAAAAATAAAGTTGCTGATATTAGTAGATCTTTGAGGGTTCCAAAGTCTGTTCTTGGCAGTCACACATTGCAGTGTCTTCCTGTTCTTAGCTTTCCTCTTGGCCTTTAGAGTTCATCTCTTTCTGGTCTGTTCTGTAGTCTTTTGTTTCTTTTTCTTTATATATAGTGATTTCCTCAGGCTAAATCTTACTTGGATCCTGTGCCAAGCTTTGCACTAAAGTTTGCGGTGTTGTTGTGTCTGTGGTTACTGATGCAAATTAGGATTAGGGTTGTACACCTGTTCTTCCTTGGGGAAATGCTGAGCCTCTTGGGCACAGCACTGAATGTTTTCAAAAATTGCATCAGCTTATTTTGGTTGATTTAAGCTGAACTGGTGCAGAGCACTTAGGAATATGTTTGCTGAGAATGGCTAAATTTAAAATAAATTCCCTCTGGATTATTTTTGATTTAGCAGTAATCTGAAATCTTAAATGAAACTTAAAAGAATTGGATTCAGTTTTTCAGACAAGATGTAAGCATGTAATGGCTGAAACAGGGAAGAAAGTTTAAAGTACAAATAATGATTAACTCTATCTTCAGTTACACTAAAGTTACTTTGATGGTGGAAGAGATGGATATCACAAAAGAAATCAATGGAAGTGAGCAATAAACCCCAGGAAGCTATTTATATTTAAGGTGTTTTTTCTAATCCTCCATCTGAGAATTCACAAACTGCCTGCAGTAGTTTGTGATCACTGGTTTTCAGAAGTCCCCAGGCAATTGGTCATGTTCCTTGTGAAATGTTTCAAGGGCAGGTTTACCTGTTAGTTGTCAGAAACCAGTATGGCTCAGGCAAAGTTCTGTAACCTCCTTGCATTTGGGAAGGATCTTTTTGCCTAAACTGCTGGTTGATATCTTAGGCCTGTGTCAGTCTTGCTGCTACTGTAAGCTTAAATATTTACAGAGTGAAGTTTTAAGTACTAATATGAACTAAATCCTTATAAATAAAAAAGCCCAGTATTACTACATTTATTCTGTCAAATTAGCATATGATTTGTCTTGATGCAAGTTCTGATAGCAAAGTGTCACTGTGAGCTCTCAAAACTTACTAGAGTTTGCGTTTGTAGTGTCTAACTTAGAAGGATGGGTTTTTTGTTTTGCTTGATCATACATCTATGATCATAGTTTATGCCTCTAATAATAGCACTTAAATTTCATTGTGTTGTTTTGGTTGATTGATTCTGATTGTGTGGGGTTTGTTATTTTTTTAAATCTGAGTTAAATATAAAATAAATGGGAGTCTTTAATCCTATCAGAGTGCAGAAATCTGTCCGGCCTCAAAAAACAGGCCTCTTGGATCTTGTAAGACCTAGCTTAAAGCCCTAAGCAAAAGGTAATGTTTTCCATTTCTTGAAGTATTATTATAAGTACTTTGGCATATGCTACCTCCCCAGAAAAATCTTTAATAGAACTCTTTTATCTGTAGAAGTACTTTATTAAGAAGTCACCTGTTCTCACTTCTTGGTTTTTTTATGTTGAAATATGTTTGCATTTTCTATTCTTTCTTTTTTAGAGTGTGTATTCTGCTTGGCCTCCTAAGATCTTAAACTGTTGTTTGATGAGTGCTGAATGACTTCTTACGGTTCATTTCAGCCATGTGAAATGTACATAACAGTGACAAAATGTTTACTTACACACACACCCAAGTTCCTGCTTATGTTCACTCCCTAGTGCTGGCCAGTTGCTTAGTGGAGCAGAGCTACATAAGGAGACAGCATCTCCAGGTTTCTTTTATCCAGTTTCAGCTGTGTTATGATTATGTCCTGTCCAAGAAACTGAATTCAACTCTCTATGCTTCATTTAATATTCCAGACTACTGCTAAATCAGAAATAATGAGGCAGTCTTCTTATTTAGGTGACGTAATTTGCTGAAGAGAAGCAGCAGTAGG